TGTTAGAGACAGAAAGGCAAGCAAAAATAAGCAGGATCCCTACCTTAGGAAGATGGCAGGGTAGTTAGAAATGCGTTCACCAAAGGATGGCACAGATATATGTACAAGGACAACTGTGCTGAGGATTTTGATGACAAGGTTCCTGGTGCTGGGTGAGTGTCTGAGAGGGCATATTTGTTATAGACAGGGTGGTGGTGGTAGCCATGGGAGACATGACCTAGGAAGCCCCAGCACAGCTACAAACCAGGTAGAAGGAACAGTGTATACAGACCCTTTAGGGATGGTAGGATGGTGGATCCAGGGAACTCAGGAAGGCTCAAGGTGATTAGAGGGCAGCAAAAGAGTCTGATGGGAGAGTCAGGGGAGGACACATGGTGCCTCTGGGTCATGGCAACAGACCTTATCTTACTTGCTAAGTATATCAGGAAGCCACTGGATGGTTTTAAGCAGAATGTCATGTGGTTCTGATCCAGATTTTGCCATGATTGCTTTAGTTTCAGTGTGGAGAAGGTCCTCGAGGAGAGAAAGAATGGGGGGTGGGAACACCATCTGGGAGGTGTCTGTGAAGCCAACTGAGACATGAAATGGGTTTGTAGCAGGAGGCCTGCTATGGAGAGGCACACTGACCTGAGGACCTGGTTTAATCTGCAACGAGAGAACCAAGCCGTGTGCACCAGCAGATGCTTTCTGCTCTTTACGGCTGACGGTTCTGTAGGAGGCAGGAAGAAATCAGACATTTGCAAAACCTCAGGAGTAGGGGTGGGATGACGTGGTCAACAGAAATTTAGGCTTTAAGCTGGTTAAAAGAAGATGAGGGGGAAGTTGAGGTGAAAGTATCTGAAAAGAAGACTATGATCATTAAGTCAGTTAAACATGGTTTGTACCAAATGTAGATGGTGTTGGAGCAGGATTTGTCCCCCAGCACTTTTTCTTGCAAACCATGCTTGATGGGTGTAATGATCATAAAGCATCTTTGTTTCTTGGAACTTAAAAAAAGAAATACGTTTTTAGCATACAGCAAGTTGCCTCTAGCTGCTTAAAATGAGAGTCTTTTCAAGTGAGGGTTACACTGAGGACTCAGCTCAGGGAATGAAGGTAAGAATGGGTTGCAAGTGTAACCTCGTGGTTCCTGGAATGATCCCAGCCCCTCAGACGTTCCACCCACCAACCAGGCTCCCAACACTCATTTCCCTAGGAGATTGCTGTAAGCCCGTAGGCAAATCATCTAGACTTCCTTAAGTGACTCAGGCTTAAAATGGAAGGGACCTAGCTCTGAAAGTCTCCTTTACCTTAGGATACTGGATTCCATGCAACAAGAATTCTTCATTCCTCAGAGTGCAATGCTGTGTTCATATGCCTGGGCATTCCTCTGAATCACTGAGGACTTTTTCACTTAATATTCATTGTCATGGTTTCTGGTGATCTAATAAGGCCAGGAGGAGTTCTTCCTTTGCCCTGGGAAAATTTTAAATTGTTTCTGAAAACCACTGCCCCCTCATGGTGGTATCTTCTGTCCTTTCTTCCACCTGTATCCCAGTTCACTTCAGTCAGCAAATGAATGAATGTGCATTTATTGAGTACCTGATCAGTGCCCTCCATGGTGCTCTGGGCTTTCAATCAGTTAATTATCAGGACACTCTTGGAAGGTGAGGGGATATAAGAGGATTATAAGAGGAGCCAGATACTCACAGAGGTGAAATCACTTGCCTAAGGTCATGTAGCAAAAAGAAGGTAGCAGAATGCAATCAAACCCAAGACTTCTGATTCTATATCCAGGGGTTTTTGTTTGTTTGTTTGTTTTTGGTTCTCTAAATTGGTATTTACCAAAGTGCACACTCCAGGTGTAAACAAGTAGATGTTAGATTGTTTATGGACAAGGCAGGAAAAAACATTGAATCACATGACAGGAAAGTTGTTTTCTTTTCAATTCTCTCCCTAACATCCTGATCAGTCAAGTTTGGTGTTAATGTGGCCTTAGTATGTATTGAATATTTGCTAATATCCCATTTTAACAAAGAGAGCTGGTCTTAGTCTTAGCACCCTCAACACTCAACAATGTTTAGCAAGAATTTAATAAAAGTATTTTGATTTCATCTTCTATTTTTGGAATGTGACATTGGTTTTCTTTATATTGGTGACATAAAGTTGCCTTTTAAGGAAAAACATTAAAGGGAAAATAAAGAAAAATGTTGAATAAATTAGAGTTCATAATGATAAAAATCGTCAGTGTGCACCTGTTGGAATGAAACTGGGACCAGCTCCATTGACCCATGCTGCCTTCCTCATTCCTGAAGCACATAGAGCTCCACTTGGTCATCCTGACACTAAGTTCTGAATCTGCTCTTTTTTTCCCTGAGAAATATACAAAAGCAATGATAATGTACTGAATGCCATACTTGCCCTTGGACCACTCAGGCTTCCTTTTTAGGTTTAAATTACATAACCCAAATCAGCCCAAGCTAGTAATGGAGTCTTAAAACCTAGAAAAAATATGTACGTTTATTGCAAAAGATAATATCCCATTTAAAACAGTTTAGAAATTTACAAAACCTTACATGAGTACATCGTCTTTAAGAAGGTGCTCTATAGATGAGCTGGTATTAAGTTCCAAGGATAGTGAGTACGCATTTATTTAACTACAGAGAAAGCAGCTACACATACTCCTGTAATTTAAGTTGATGTATCGGTCTTTTCCCCTTCAATTTAATAAAAGTAATTTTTGCTAAATTAATCTCTCTCCATAAAACCATATTACCTCAAGTACAGCATTTCTGTAGAGTAATATCATGGTAGATGTTATATCATATTTTACAAAGAAGCAGTGATTTTCACACGAATAAATGAGCATGGAGTTTTGGTATATGTGTGTATGTTTTTTTTAAACAGAGGATGATTTTTGTTCATCAGGAAAGTGGGTATCAAGTCCTTTTCCCTCATAGTGATTTTAAATGTTAAATTTTCAAAGAGAACTCCTTCCCAGTTTCAGGTTGGTGGCCCAAGCAACGTGGTGTTGTGCTTTGGTATAGAATCACTATAGCCTTGGTTGGTTTTATTTCTAGAAATGCCAACACTTTCCAGCCCCGGTTTGATTTAATTCAGTTTTGGGTTCTTGTGAGACCCTCGACTTAACATGTGTGTATGTCCACATGAGCTTCTTAATTTTGTGTGAGATACCACAAACATCTCTTCATCATACCGGACTAACTTTGGCCAATGATCCATCTCAGCTCTGAGTTGTTCTGCTCATGTGATGTGGGAACATGCACAGAGTCGATATAGCAGTTAGACCTAGGTGGTCTTATCTCCATTCAAGAAGGGACATACAGGCTTTGCAAATTTAAGCCGTTTGCCAAAGAAATAGACTGCTCAGTTGCCCAAGTCTCTTAATTCTAGGAACAGGATTGTTTTCATTCTAGCACAATGCCTAAGAATATAAATTTAGTTGAAATTAGTGTAAGCAAAGCAAATAAGATGGAAGCTCCACTACAAGATAAACTTACATAAGAGATCCCAGATGATTTTGCTTTATTGGATTATCCTTTGTGCTGTTTTTTTCCAGTGTGGGGCCAATGGAGAGTAGATCTAATGGATATAGAAAGAAAGATCTGTGGCTTCCAGCCTGTGGTAGCATATCTTATTGAGATGTGGCTTCTTAAGTATGACAAGTGTATTTATCTTAATTCTAACATGACGTTATATATTCCGGTCTCATTTTGTGGGTTTAAACATTACACTAGAAACAGAACAAGAACATCTTGAATGACATTCCAAGACTTAAATAGTGCAAGCTGAGGTTCATTGCCAGATTTCCCTCTTGCTTTCATGGAAATAGCTCTGTGCACTGCAGTGCTGTGTTGGGGAAGGTGAAACTGTCAGAGTGGTTTGCTCAATTAGTCTCAATTTGCAGCGGGGTACATACATCCCATGTGCACATAGGATGCTGTGCTCTACAACAACTCTAGCTCAGACCCTGGGTCTTCAGCAAAGGGGGCTATGAAATGCCCTCTTCATTTAATGTACATTTAGCTTCAGGATCCCTTTCTTGAAGTGTCAATCCAACCACAGGCTGGTAGAGAATTTGATTTAACGAGAAGGAATCTGAATCTTGCCATCCTGCTCATCATCCCCTAGAATATGTAGCAGTTAATTATATTACCATAATAGTTTGTTCAGCCATGCAAGTTTGACTGGACCCGCATGTATGGGGGTCTTGTCAAAAGAAGGAGTCAGACCTTAAATAACTCAGACTTTGGGAAAGAAAGGTCTTTAATACAAAAATGGGGGGAAAAAAGCCAAGAAAAAAACCCCAATATTCTCATCCCTAGTCCTGTGGCTTCTTCAATCAGGTGACCATAGCCTTGTCACCAGGAAGGGAGACGATGTCGATTAATATATGTTTGAACCTATCTACAAGCCTGTTGCAGGGATGAATGAACTAGAAACAGTGTTGTGTTTTATCAGCCTTATTTATGTTCACAATAAGATGTAACTGACTGACAGGCTGCCGGATCTCATGATCTTAAACGTTGCAGGTAAATTAACTGTGGAAACTAAGAAAGTTCAAGCCCAAACTAAATTCTACCCATTTGCCAGGTGGTCTCAGGCCCCAGACAGAGAGGCATGATGGTTTAGGGCAAGCCCTGAAACAGCTGTAACTGCTGGTACCCTCTTTGAATTCCAATTGCACAAGATAGCCACACCTTATATCCTGGGGTGACATTACTCCGTCACAGACAGTAAGGCCCATACCAAATGAGATGACAGATCCTTGACTTGGGATCAAGGGGCTAATTAAGAACGAAAGTGACCCCAACACACCAGAGTGGTCTTGCACTTTTAAGCCCTGCCTACTTGTGTTGTGCTTGTGTACGTTATCCTAGAAAACTGCCAGTTTATTTATCTAACTGTTTTCTGTTACCTGCTTATAACCTCCTGCCCCTCACAACACTTTTCTTTCTCTTTTGGGTTGTTGAACCCAGGATGAGAAGGAAGCACTTAGCATCATGGAGGCATTAGAGGTGGAGTGAGGGTTTTGCTCATGGTGGGAGCTTGGACTTGCAAACCAGGATGAGACCTGGCCTTGTGTGACAGGGAACTTGGCAAGTGGTCACTCTAGTGTCCGTGAAATCCTCAGCAAGCAGCGGCACGCACTCAGGCGAGGAAGGTGATCAGGTGTCCAGCAGTGGCTGCACCTGTTCCAAGGCTCTCCTGTTTCACAGGTCAAGGAGCTCACAGCCCGGGGCCTTTGCAAAGAAGCAGAACAGGCCTTGAGGGCAGTGGATTCCCCATCTCAGGGAGGTATATGGGGGGGGGGGGGGATGGTCACAACCAGCTCAGATCCACCAGAAACATTTCTTCTTCACCTTCTTGGTTTTCCGCCTTAAGTCCTGTTTTTCTGGGACAGGGGCTTCTGCTGGGGACTTTGGTGGGGGCGATGCCTCCTCAGTTGGTTCTGCTTCCTCCAGACTCTGCAGAACTTCATGGAATCTGCCTTCCTGCTGCCGAAAATCATACTCTACACTGAAAAACATGGAGAGGAAGGAAGGAAAGTAAATTCAAATCAGCACAGACTGATTCAGCATCACCAAGTGTCCAACTGACATGGAAGAGTTGGGGCTGTGGGATCGAATCCCAGAACCTTAGGTATCTAGTGGTTGTGTGACCTTGGGAAAGTGATGCCCCCTCTCTAACCTTCTAGTTCCTTACTGACTGACTTGGCACCTGTGATGCCTTCCTTACAGGGATGTTATTACATGTAAATGACACATGTGACAGGACAGTTGATGGCAGGTATTCAGTAAACATTGGCTCCAGTGTCTCTCTTATATATACTTGATGCCCCCAGTTGTTAAAGGTTTTGTGCACATGTTATACATGAAATCTGCCTCATGGTAAAAGATTTAAATAATACTTAGGGACATAGAATAAAACTGACAGCTCAGTTTCCTCGTCTGTAAAATGGAGGTGGCACCTATTTCAAAAACTTTCTTTGGAATTACCATCTGTAAAGTGAAATAATATAAATGAGGTGCTAAGAGCAGTGCCTGGCCTGTCCTAAGTCCTCCATATATGTTAGCTCCTGTTATTGTTAGTATCATCATCATCCATTTTTTGGGGGGAGAGGTATTGAAGTCTCACTCTGTCACCCAGGCTGGAATGCAGTGGCATGCTCACAGCCACTGCAGCCTCGACTTGCTGGGTTCAGGTGATCCTTCTGCTTCAGTCTTCCAAGTAGCTGGAACTACAGATGCATGCCACCATGCCCAGCTAATTTCTGTGATTTGTTGTAGAGACAAGGTCTCGCCAAGTTGTCCAGGCTGGTCTTGAACCCATGGGTTTAGGCAATCCTTTCGCCTCAGCCTCCCAAAGTGCTTTACAGACTTAAGTCACCACGCCTGGCCCATCATTCATATTTTTACTACTATTATGTGACGCCTTGCTTGTTGAATTGCTTTTCAACTTAGCAACATATCTTGGAGAGCTTTACTTATAAGACTACCCCAAAGTATTCCTCAATACAGATGTGTTTATGCTCTATCAGTAAATGTTTCCTAAGCTCCATTTATTATCATTATTATTATATTTTGGTGATTTTATCGTGTGTTTTGGAATCATTTATGTACAGATTCCATTGCATTGTGCTGATTGTCATAGAGGTCTAAGAGGTAAACATGAAGCCATCAGGGACCATGCTTCCCAGAGGTCAAGGGAGTTGGGAGTCAGAACAGAAGCTCTAACTTATGAGAAGTGGGTACTGATGCTCCCTGACCTCTGTGTGTCTGGGAGTCAGGCCAGTAGGTATCAGGGACTCTCAGCCTGTGTTGTCACACAGCTCATACTCCCCAAAACCCAGGGAGCCAGACCAGGGAGAACTAATCCTGTTAGACATCCTAGCAGACTGAGCCTGGGCCCCCTCTGTCCTTAACTGTCCACTCTCTTCCATAAGGGGTACTTGCTTACAGAAGAGTTTTCAGCACCAGGGTGCTTGGAAGAAGGTTCTTAAACTTTCCCACATGTTTGTTCCTGGTTTTGTACTAGGGCTTTCAGAATGTCCAGGATAAGGCACCAGCACAAGAGTGTGGAATCATGAAAAGAGCACTTTATCCTTGTTCAGCCAGGAGGAAAATGAACAATTGCATGTGGAAGATGAAAGACCCCATGTTGGTCTGTGATGTGGCATGACTGGCTACAGCCTTTATACCCAGTAATAATTGAGAAGTAGCAGTCAGGAAAGGGATACCTGTCCTTGTCTGCTAGCCCCATGTCACCTCTTAGAGCCCAGGATCAGAGTTAGTGCTGCCGAAGAGGCATATCACGTTTGCCAAGCATAACCAATGAAGCCCTAAAGGGTGCCTTATCCTTGAGGGCTATAGGGTTAGAGGGGTGAGGTGACTGTTTTGTAGCCAGACTGATGGGGTGTCAGTTCTCAGGGAGTACTTGAGAAGGGTATCTAATTGCTTTGTTTCTGCATTTTTGATAAGTTTCATCTGGGCTTTCTTCCTCTCTGCTTATATCCTTTCCCTTTCTGTTCCTCCCTGTACCCCTCTGTGGCTGGGTGACATATATAATGGATGAAACAAGGTTGGTTTTAGTTTTTTTTGAAAGCAAAGCTCCACAACTTATCAACTGTGAGATTTGGGGGGAAGTCATTTCCCATTTTCAAGCTACCATGTGCTCATCTGCAAAATGGGCATAGTACCTACTTAAAGAATCTCAGTGGAGCACATGCAAATATTCAACCAGTCATTCAACAAACATTTAATGAGCATCTTCCATGTACCAGGACCTGTTCTAGCTACTGGGGAAGGGATGGTAGACAGAGAAACACTCTCTCTGGCCTCTTGGTACTGCTACTCCAACGGCTCTGTGTCCTCAGTAAATGTCAACATCAGTAGCTATTAGGGTCCTTTTAGCCAAAGCCCAAGGTTGACCAGGTAAGGGGGTAGAGGCATCCACAGACTCACATCACCTGGTGCTGCACCCCTATTTGTCAGTGGAGGGAATGGAATGGGATACTGTCTATACCACCTGTACCTTAGTTTCCTCAGAGGAAACTTAAAGGGGTGGATTCAGAGGCTGGGAAACCTCTGCATTGCAGCAAGGAAGGAATTTAAAGCGGTGAGTTGTGAGCTATGGTTCTCACCCCCTCTAGCACTAGGAACATGCATGGTTCACAAATAGGGAACATCCATATTCACACTTCTCCTAGCTCCTGAAATAGCCCTGCCCTTCCTACTGTGGGAGAAAAAATGATCTTCATCGTAGAGTACCAGATGGAGCCTAAGAGTGTGGTTACCCCACTCTATGATTTTTAGGATTCTAGGATTTTCTAGTGTTATCTGGTGCAGAATATTCCATTCATTCATCCATCTGTCCATCTGTCCATCCGTCTGTCTGTCCATCCATCCATCCATCCATCTATCCATCCATCCATCCATCCATCCTGCTCTGGACCTGACACTGTGCTGTGTTCCAGGACAGAACAGTAAACTAGACAGGCAAGGATACTGTCTCTGTGGCTCTTCCCAGCATGTGAAATAGGTGACTAAATAACAATTGCTTTCAAAATATACTTCTCATTTCTCTCAATTACTCCTACTTTCCAATTCTTTATCCATATGCTCCTACCAAATTATATGAACACACACATATACCAGATGTCTTCTTCTCCTTCTATATGAAATTCCTCTGACTTCATACTTCAAACAAACAACAAAAAAGACAACAAACCACCTAAGTTTGTCAAGATTTATAAGTGTCCTAAAGGCCTGGGTAGAAAATAGCCAGGAGATGGAACCTAAACTCTACTTCATTGTCACCTCTTGAAGTGTAGCCCAATATATAGAGGATGGAATGAGGTGAACACTCCTAGGTTTGAAGTGAGGTTGCATGGCTTCCCGGCTGGGTGACCCCGGCCAAGTTTCTTCTCTTTCCATACTCAAGTGAACATGGCATTATACTATCTACCCCACTGGCTAGGAGTGCAGATGTGACACAGTCACAGGTGAAATCACCTCCCATAGGACACAATCTCGGCCCATTCCACTCTTCCTCATGAGGTCCTTAGTCATCATGTCTCAGGGACAGAATGCCTCGTCTCCTGGCTACACCCTTAGCTTGTCAGTAGCTGTACACCTTAACAGCTCATCACTCCTCCCCACCTCTACATTCAGGGAAGAATACACTCCTTATGTTTCTATGGAAACACAGCTGGGTTCCATTATAATCACTGGGATTTAGGGAGCTCCCCACTCCCCTCTTGTGACTGCCCCCACTGGTCTTGGCAATTTAAAGGGGTTTGAAAGTGACTTTCTTTTCAAGGCCAGGCAAATAGCAGAGTATGGAGAAGTATGTGTGCTTTGGAAAAAAATTGATTAATGTTTTTTAGGCCAAAGCAATTTATTAACATAAAGGAAAATTGCCACTTTTCCTTTTATTCACCCCTTTGACAAACTACTTAGTTTGGAGGGGAGGAGAGGGAAGATAATTTCCTTTGGTGGCAGCTGTCTTATAAATGGGAGGGGGCAGTGCCCTCTCATCTGCTATTCATCCTGAGGCTGGGTAGAAAGGGAGAAATGTCTCTCCATTCCCACTTTTTGCTTGACCATCTCACACCATGTTCACCATCTCCTTGAAAAAAAGGAGTGAGTTTCCAACTTGGTGAAAATTCAAGTAAATGTGCAGCAGGGGATTATTTGTAGATGTTGGGGAGGAATTCTCTGCTTTGGGTTTCAGTTTAGGTATCAAAATAGAACACCAATAACCTTTCCAACCTCACCTTCCCGTCTCTTCTTCCTCTTATCCTCTCTCCCTTGCCTTCTCCCACCATCCATATTCCAAACAGACTCTGTGTCACAGGCAGGAGCACAAGAATGAAGGCAAGTGCTGAGTGTTTAATTTGTGCCGAGTCCTGGTTTATGGTGGGGGCCAAATAGTAACCTAATAAATTGTTATGATGCAGGATTCAGAATAAGAGCCATGGTGATGGTCCAGAGTGTTCAAGGTGTATGGGGTTAGTCCTCTGGAGGCTGTGTGCAATGGCTCAGGGGTGCCTGGCTCACTGTCAGGAGAACCTGAGAGCCCTTCACATCCTTGGAGATGTCTGCACATGGTGCCACATTGCATTTAGAAAGTGAGCCGTGTGTAAAGCAGGAATGGTAAGAACTTCAGGTTTCCCTCTTGAGGGCACCTCACAAATCTAGCTGACAGATCAATGCCTCAGCCATCATGCTAGCAGAAAAGCAAAAGGATGTTTTTCTAGGTAATTGGAAACAGCAAGAGCCCTAAGTCATGGCTTGTCTTGAAGAAGAAGCAGGGAAGAGCAGATAGCAAAAAATAGATAAATGCATGAATACACACACAAACAACAGAGCTGGGTTCTGGATGCAGGATCTTGGCTGTGCAAACTGAAGCTGGCTGGGCCAAAAAGAGATACAAGTGTTCATAGAAACAAACAAATAACAGAAACTTCTTCATTTTGTATAACACATTTGAATTTGCAGAGCACTTCAAATACATGT